TACTATATATATATATATATATATATATATATATATATATGACACGATATTATTATTGACCAACAAACCTATCAAAATAAATCAAACTATCATGTTGAGTTTTAATTAGCCACTTACGATTTGACTAATTTTTATATGTTGAATTATAATTAACTATCACGCCTAGCCATATCAAGTTAATTAGTGATGGGTGGGTACTTGTATTTTTGAGGGTAGTCAGAAAAATTATTCTTCTTATTGATATAAGAAACATGACTAAGAATAATTGAATAATATCTTCTTACATGCTTTCTTGGAACTAAAATTTGTAGCATAATCTAAATCAGAAACCCTTTATAGACTCTCACGTAGTATTACGATCGTCGAGTGTAGTTCTTATTGGGTCGAGACGGACTATTATTGCAGCCCATAGCGCATTAAGCCCACGGAACGTTGCTTTGAATCTTGTGCCATTTCTCTTTCGATCGGACGGCCAATAGGCATTCTACATCGGTATAAATAGTTACTCTCTCGTGGTTTTTATTTCCATTTCGCTCTTCAAAACCCAAACCCTAAGGAGCGGCGGAGAGTGGAGGAGAGGGGCGGCGGCGATGACGACGCGCTTCAGGAAGAACCGGAAGAAGCGAGGGCACGTGAGCGCCGGCCATGGGCGCATCGGTAAGCACCGGAAACACCCGGGTGGTCGCGGTAACGCTGGTGGCATGCACCACCACCGCATCCTCTTCGACAAGTACCACCCCGGTTACTTTGGAAAGGTAGGTATGCGCTACTTCCACCGCCTCCGCAACAAGTTCCACTGCCCCGCCGTCAACGTCGACCGCCTCTGGTCCCTCGTCCCCGACGCCGTCAAGGAATCCGCTGCCAAGGACGGCACCGCCGCCCCCTTGATTGACGTAACCCAGTTCGGGTACTTCAAGGTGCTCGGCAAGGGGATGCTGCCGCCGGACCGCCCCGTCGTCGTGAAGGCCAAGCTCATTTCGAAGATCGCCGAGAAGAAGATTAAGGCAGCCGGTGGCGCTGTCGTGCTCACCGCTTGATCTGCACGATCGACGGTCTCTTTTTATACCGAAGAGCTTTCCTTTTTGAATCTGCTCGAACTCATCAATAGGAATCTGCAATGTTTATTTTGAGCCCAATCTGTTTGATCTTTTGACTTTGATGTTGTTGCTTGGACTTGAATTATTGTCTTGAGAATATCTGCAATTTAGACAAATGCAGTTAGTAATGCCATGTTTGATTGAAAATTCTTATTTTGATCTCATAGTTATTGGCCTCCGTGAATGAATCTAAAATTAGTACAATTTAGTAGGCAAACATGGGACTCCATAATAAAATGGACAATGTCAGGCTATTCTTCCTCTTATATGTGTTATCATGAAGAAATATTTATGTTCGTTCTTTTTTTGTTGATGAGCCTATTGTCTTTGTTATGTAAAATTATTGTCGTTTATATGAATGCAAATGATTAGACTTGATGTGTAGCTTCTGTCTATATTTGAGGTTGCCAATGGTACCAATGGGATGGGTGAGTCTGTATAGACTATGAAGATGAGACTCTTTTTACCTGATGAAACTGTTAATCTCATGTTTGTCCAATCTATGACACATGAAGCACAAGTTAATTGGAAAAACTGATTACGTTAGCTGCAGGTGTGCTTCCTGATGTGGATATGAATTGGTTTTGATACTAACGGCTTGGTAGAGTTCAGATGGTGGAATACTTGTGTTCTTAGCTCAAGTCGATATGTTTTGAGTCCATAGAAAGAAATCATCAAGGACCATATTAGAGATTATATTAGCTTGTAAAATCTTGAGCTAATTACATATTATCTTATGTAGTTAGTTATCTTTAGCATTTTGGATCTTACACTTAAAAAACTTATATTGACATCCTTATAGTTACAAAAGTGAAATATTTAGATCCATTTTTTCTAACATCGACAGTTTTACCAATGGATATACGAAAACAAAAGACAAAAAGATAATTTTATTGTTTCAGTTGGTGGTGGTGGACGATGTTGGTGGTGATGGGCGAAAGCATCGTTGGGGGTCGTGGGTGGTTATTGTGGATGAGAAGAGCGGTGGCGAGAGGTGAGGGTCGCTTTGCATCTATGTCAACGCCAATATAGTTGTCCAGCAACCCTTTCATTGCTTTGCATCTGTGTTAGCGTTGATGTAGTTGTCCTTCGATGTCTGTCGCTTTGATCTTCATTAGTGTCGACGCAGTTGTCGTGCGACATCTGCATCGGTGGCCCTTTTGTTGTTTGGCAACTGCATTGACACCAACGCAGATGCAAAGCGATAAAAGGGTCGCTCGACAATTGTGTAAGAGTCGACGCAGATGCAGAGCAATCCTCACCTCTCGTTGCTCTCATCCACAACAGCTACTCGTGGCCCCCCAGCGACGTCGTTTGTCACCACCAACTGAAACATTTAAATTATCTTTTCATTTTTTGTTTTTGTGTTTTCGTTGATAAAATCGATGACGTTCAGATGAATGAATCTAGATATTTCACTTTCGTAACTATAGGGATGTCAATGTAATATTTTATAGTGTAGGGATCGAAAGGCTAAAGGTAACTAATTGCATGGGATAACATGTTATTAGCTCTAAAATCTTTGATACCTATCACTCATTTTGCAAGGTTAACCAATTTATGTGATCATACCAAATCAAGCATAGTCTTTTGTGTGAATTATGGTCTTATTTGGTTCCTACTCAAAACTTCCCTGGGAATAAGGCAACATTTTTATAAGAAGTTGATTCCAGTTGCTTATTGTTTTGTGAAATCTTTGATACCCGTCACTCATTTTGCTAAGGTTAGACAGTTTATGTGATTATATCAACTCAAACATGCTGCATTTTTGTGGATTATGGACTATTTAGGTTCTTGCTCAAAATTTGCCTGGGAATATGGTAGCAGTTCTCAGGTTGCTTATTGTTAATTCTCTTTCACTGCTGATTTCAAGTTGGAAACATAGAAGAGCTGTGATAGCCACCCGACAGTCAACCCACCTCAAACAGATTCATGCGGTGATTGGGTCATGGTGGCATGTTGATGGCTTAGGTTAATCGCCTGGTGTTTTAATTCTGTCGATTCCTGCAATAAGTTTTGGTTTTGCACATCCCACATTTTTGGCAAATATTGGATGACATGAGGCTGGCATCTCCAGGCCAACAAAGCAACCTTCTCTCTCTTTTTGTCGTCGTCGTCGTCGTTGAAGAGCAGAGATGGGTTTGGTTTCACGCGATCGCTGCGGATGCTAATTGGTATTGTTGCGATTTGCAAATTAGGGGAGCTTCTGCAACTGGTCGATCTCCCTATAGCTTTCTTTCTTGCAGTCTCGTGTACATGCAAATGAGCATCCTGAGATCCATCTCCTCGTAATTTCCATGCAGTGCTGGACAATTTACACTCGATAACATAAACAAGTGAGCATCCTGAGAGTCTGTCCTCGACATGTACAAGCAAGCAATCATCCCAAAGCGACGCCACTCGTGCCTGCAGGTCATCCCAAGCAATCATCCCAAAGATACTATGCTCAATTGTCCAACGCCAAGTCTTGCTCTCTGTCAATATTTCATCCATTAGCTGTGAGTAATTGTGTCTTTGTGTATCCTTCCTATCTTGGCCTCATTTTGTAAGCTCGATCTGTTCTGAACCCACAATCCTGCAAAAACATAAATACTGGTGTCATTTCTCAATACATAACCCGTACTTCCTTTACGCCCAGACACAGATCCATCAGAAATATTACAAGTCTAATATACCCTCTTGGAGGGAGGCTTTTACCATTTGAATGGAATAGGATTGGATAGATGATTCCCTTCGTATTCATTCCCTCTAGCACAAAAAGCTAGTTGTGACTATAGCTTGATGCATATAACTCTTATACTCATCGAATATATTCTCATTTCTTTCTTTCCACATGTATGGAAGTAGATACTTTTTATATTTATACACTCTTACCTTCAGTCTATGATGTTTCAGATTACGGAAAGAAAAAGTCGAACTTCAAATTCACAGCATCCATAGCGAAGATCTTGATTTCTGTGTTAACTAAGTTGATGCTGGCACACGTTTCAGAGCACTCTCTCTCTATGGAGGAAGTGAAATCTTTGGCAACAGTGGTCAGAAAAAATCATCGGAACCATAACCTCAGCAATAGTGGCACCATAAACTTGTCATAATAGCTGCAATGAGTTTCGCTGAACCCTCCACGGCCAGACCACATTCTTAAGTTAATCCAACAGGATAAGCTGAGAGGAATCAACTCAACCATGTTTCACTCCAAAGTCCAGTTTCGATTACCAATAGTCATTACATGAACACAGCCCATCCTTAAAATGATGGAATCTCTTAGCATCTCGAGCAATGATTTCTTTGCCCACCACTTGAGACACCAACTTTATCCAAGAATGGCAGTCACCACAGACCCTGAGGTTCTTGAATATTGTGATTGGTATGTCTCCCTTGTCATTGCTGCTCATGACCCCAAAGGCCACAGCCAGCTTCTCACTGTGGTAATACAAGGATCTCTCCTTTTCCAGCTCCTCCATTTCTTGTAGGACATACCTTGTGTCCGGAACATAGCCCAGTTCCTCGGTCCTTGTAATCAGCACTTCCAATTGTTTATAGATCTCTTCTGCCTTCAGGTGACCCCTGTCTCCTGCCATGAATGTATGGAACTCCCTGTCCACTTCGATCCAACTCATGGCTGGATCTTTCTTCAGTTTCATTCTTCTCATTGCAGATTTCACATTGATCACCTCATTCCATTGACCTAAAGATGCATAAATGTTCGACAAAAGAATGTAAGTTGCATCGTCACCTGGATCAAGCTCGAGTATATTTCTCGCAACCCTCTTTGCCATATCCAGTTTTCCATGTATTTTGCAGGCACTTAGCAAAGACCTCCACAGAACTTTGTCTGGACTCCTAAGTTTGGTTATCAGCCCTTCAGCCTCTTCCAGTTTTCCGGAACGACCTAGAAGGTCAACCATGCATGCATAATGGTCACTAGATGGTCCATGCTTGTAGCAGTCGATGATGAAAGAGAACACTCGATGGCCTTCTTCAAGCAGTCCTGCATTACCACAAGCAGAAAGAACACTGGTGAATGTCGCATCATTTGGTTCCAAACCCGATACTTGCATCATCTCAAACGCTCGAATTGCTTCCACTCCGTGGCCATTTTGTGCATAGGCATTGATCATACAGTTCACAGAAACTAAATCAAGCCCTGGCAGATCATCAAAAATAATTCTGGCCATTCCAATACGCCCACACTTTCCATATGTATCGATCAATGCAGCACAAACAAATCTGTTGCTATCCAACCCAATTTTTGTAGTGAAGGCATGGATCAACTTCCCTTGTTCGAACAATGCAAGGGCGGAGCACGCTCTCAGAGCTGTGGACAAAGTGAATGCGTTAGGCCGAACTGAATCATTAATCATGTTCTGAAGCATCAAAAGAGCAAGCTCTTCTCTGTGATTACATACCAAGCATCCAATTATAGCCGTCCAACTTACTGTATTTGGATCCGCTATGCTCTCAAAGACTTTTATGGAGTCATCAATCAGTCCACACCTTGAATACATGGTAAGGAGTGATGTCTGTGAAGAACAGCCTAGCTTAAAACCAAACTTTTCCATGACACCATGAATCGATAACCCCCACCTCAAGTCTCCAATGCTCCCACATGCTATTAGAACACTTGCGAATGTGAAGTCATTTGGACTCAAGCCATCCTTCATCACCTGCCGGAAGAGCTGAATTGCCTCACTGTACTCTCCATTCTGGGTGTAGCCTACGATCAAAGCTGTCGTCAAGACAACGTCCTTGCTACATACTCTATCATAGACCGCTCGAGCTTCTCTCAGTTTGCCGAACTTTGCATACATATCTACCAAGGCACTGCCAACAAAGGCATTTGTGGCATCTACACCGGTGATCACCAGACACCCATGAGCTGCACCGCCTTGTGCCACGAGACCGAGCTCACTGAATGCTCTAAGCACGCTCGAGAAGGTGAACTCGTCTGCCCTGACGCCCTCCCGCAGCATCCGTTTATACAAATCCACCGCTTCACGGCTTCTGCTACAGCGAACGCAGGAAGATATCATGGCGTTCCAGGAGACAGGATGCGGCTTGGGCATTGCGTCGAACACCTCCCGGGCGTCCTCGATCGCGCCACATTTGAGGTACACGTCGACCAGCTTGTTTCCAAGGCTGAGGTGCCGGAAGCCAGACATCATCATATGGCGGTGGACCCGGCGGGTCTTCTCGAGGGACCGCTCGGCGGCGCATCGCCGGAGGAGGGAGGCGTAGGCGTCCGAGGGGGCTCTCGCCGCCGTGTGTTGGGTTCTGACAAGAGTAGAGAGCGCGGTTTTGGGGACTCTCATTATTGCCTTCCAATGCCGTTGTTGGCGCCTTGTAAGCCTCCACGTGTAGGTAAAAATACAGAAGAAAAAATGTTTATTATATTTATTATTCCTCCGTGGAATCTTATTTACGTATTAGGCAGAAAAATTGGTTTCTGTTTCCTATTTACATATAAGTCCTCAAAACACATTATATTAACAACATAAGTCCTCAAATCTTTATCTGCTCATCCCAAAAGTATATTTTATATTTATTATTTACTAAAATAAACTAATATTAATTATATATATAATCAGGAATATAGTCGATCTGAATTTTTCGATAAATAATAAAAGCATTCAACTCTACAAGGATAGATGTGAAAAATACATCAGATCAAAATTACAAGATTGAAATCGGATGGTTGACATTGAGTTGGGTTTGGAGTGACTTACAAGATTGCATTCCGACCTAACGAATCCGTCTTGAGAAATCACACGTACTAGTGGCAAAAAAGAGGGTAGGAGTAGCGGAGAAGGTGACAACATCACGTTATACTCATTGTGTCTCTCATAATCACATGTACTATTGGTAGGTTGAACTACCAATAAGTTGCTTACACAATAAGTAGAATTAATGCATGCTTTTAAATATCGACCTAATTTGCATGCACAAATCGATGTTAATCAATCCGATCAGCCACCCATCGCCATGCCCACAATGAAAACACTCCATCAGGTTCAAAATCTTTTCTTTTGGATCCAATTGATCAGATCAACAACCAAATAAAAAGGGTTCATGAAAGAGAAAGATTTATATGAATCAATCAAACAACTTTTTTCCTTGCGTAAAATTGATTTAACTTAGAGAAATAAAAAAAGGGGAAGCTCGGATGTCACAGAAAAAAAACAGAGTGGAAGTTTGCCTGGTCCTACCAGAGAGGCAGGCAGGCAATGGTTTGGTGGGGTGGTGGGGTCTTCCACAAGCACAGGATCATTCGTTCATGGAGAATTCCTTCTACGGAAATCTTGGAGGACTCTCGACCAAACTGTTTGGATAAGCAAGTCTTTTAGTTGAATTCTTCCAAGAACAACAAGTACATGAAACATGAAACCACAACTCATTATGTCTCCCTTAAATTGGATTATTTTTATCTCCCTCGAGTATCTATCTCTATGTCTCCATTAACGTAAACCAACCGCCAATGTAACTATCCAACATGTTTTTAGTCTTTTTCCTTTCAGTCCTTCACTTCTTAGATTTTTCATATAACCCCTCTCGTTTTATGTTAAATCCCGTCTTATGGTTTATGGAAACACCCCTCCCCATCTCTATAAATATAAGAAGCCCCCCGAGGGGATGCAAATAGCAGAAGCAGCAGAGAGAGAGAGAGAGATGGGGCTTAGCCTGGTGTGGTTGATGGATGTGTTTGTCCGGCGCGCCTACACTGCCGCCGGCCTCCGCTCCCACACCGTCGCAGTCGACGCCGACACCACCGTCCATTGCTGGATCTCGACCTCCCTCCTCCCCACTCCCTCCTCCGCCGGAGCCGACCCCGGCCGCGGATCGAGGAGGCAGCCGAAGCCCCCGCTCCTCCTCATCCATGGATTCGGGCCCCGCGCCACGTGGCAGTGGCGCAGCCAGATCGCGCCCCTCGCCGCCCGCTTCGACCTCATCGTGCCGGACCTTCTCTTCTTCGGCGGCTCCACCACCCGGTCCCCGCAGCGGTCCGAGGCCTTCCAGGCGGCCGCACTCGCCCGCCTCCTCGACGCCCTCGGCGTCGCGCCGCCGCGCCGGGCGAGGGTTTCGGTGATGGGGACCAGCTACGGGGGGTTCGTGGCGTACCATGTGGCGCGGGCGATGGGGCCGGACCGGGTGGAGCGAGTGGTGATCGCCAGCTCCGACTTGCTCAAGGGGCCGGAGGACGACAAGGCGCTGCTGGAGCGGGCCGGTGGCCGTGGAGACGTCGCCGATCTTCTCCTCCCGCGGACCACCGCCGATATGAGGAGGCTCGTCCGCGTCGCCGTCCACCGCCCGCCTCGATTCATGCCGGAGTTCATCCTCCGCGACATGCTTCGGGTAAACGTTCATCTTTGCTCTCTCCACTTCCCTCAATCTTATTCCCCTACATCCTCAAACCTAGAATCGATCGATTAGTTCAGTCTCGCTTAGAAAGATGAGATTATTAGATACATTGATCGTCCCCAAATCATGCTCATAGAAATCAACGAATCGGCCATTAGTTGGCAGCGTGGGTCCCACGGTTGGACCCACTGTTGGTTGGCTGCTGGTGTCCGCAGCTACCAACCAACGGACTACATTCTTCCTCGGCCGAGAGAGGGGCAACGGCGAGATCATAGGTCGATGGGAAGATAAAAGCGTTGATTCTCTTAGAAAAGTGGCAGCACACATCAAAGCCTCCTACAAATCTCAATGTATTGATGACATATAGGAGGTTCTCACATTACAAAGGAAACCATATATGCATCCAAAGTCCATGATCTTAGCATTTGTCCTTATAAATCCAAGTTTAGCATATGCATCCTTACAAAAGGCCAAGAACCTGCACACACGCACACATTTCAATATTAGATCAGAGACGTCAGTAGTGCCTCTTTAAAACCTGCTAGTCAGTATTTAACTTGAGATTTTTGGATGAATATTAAGGGATGTGTATATGTGAAGAATCTTAAATCTTACAAAGAGTAATGTAAACTCTGAACTTGACTATTATTTTCCGAAATGTAGATGTAATAGAATCTTTGTAATGTTCCTACTCTTATTTTTTGTTTAATTTAGCAAGCACTTTCTATTCACATTTGTTTTTTACTTGTAAGTAAATATGCATGTCTGTCTGTGTGCAGAATCTGTTCAGCGATAAGCTGGAGGAAAAGCTAGAACTCGTCAAGGGCATCTCCCTCGCCAACAAAGACCAGTTCCAACTTACTCCTCTTCCCCAGGTAACAAACAGCTTTACTTTGCATGCAATCAGCTCCTCAGCCCAAACCTTCTTTTGTTCTCAGTCCCTGTTCCTCGCAGCAAGTTCTGATGATTTGGGGAGAGGATGATCAGATATTCCCAGTGGATAAGGCGTTCGAGATGCAAAAGTAAGTTGCCAACAAGCCTTCTTTTCCTGCTTCTGTCAATGATGATATGTTGATGACCGTGAACCAAATGAGTAAGTGCAGGCGTTTCGGAGAGAATGCGAGGTTGGAGGTGGTGCAGAAAACTGGTCACATGCCGCAGATGGAAGACGCCGGCAGGTTCAACAAGGTCGTCCTCAGCTTCTTATTAGGTGCACCCAAGTCTTCACTGTAAACTACTACATGGTGGTTGTGCTTGACGACTCTCACTGTCCAGATATGATGTAGATTAGATTCTTTACTGTTTAGAAAAATAAGCCCCGGGCTATTTGCTGCAGGGTATTCAGACATGAGTTCCCTTTAGTGGTTATGTATGGGAATACTACGCTAGTCTTCTTGCAAAGATGGGAGATGGGTTTGAATGGAAATTATGTGTTGTATTGGGGTTGATGAAGCTACAAGCAGCAGCATATGGCATCATCTTCTTGAGTTGCTACTGGTTATAAACGTGTCTATCCAAATACAAACCTTCTCTTGCATGTATTCCTTCCATTATATGCTTATTATTATAACTGTATAGATATATACATAAATGCTAAAATGAATTTACATTTTTGGTAGGTAATACGAAATTGCAGGTGCATCTATAAATTTCTATACAATCATTTCAGCAAAACTATCAGGGGAACAATGGAAAAATACATAGTATTTTGCTTTAGATCTATTTAATTCAGCGACTTTCGATGAATGGAATGTAGAGGAACAACATACACTGAATCCAAATACACGATGGTTTATTCTGTCAATAGCTGTTATTGAGTTAAGATAGCTGCTATTGAGTTGATGTATGCTCTAATACAAGACAACCAAAAAAAATCTCCAGTTGTAGGGTTTTACCACATCGAATCTCGATATCATTTATCGACGTTTGCTTTGTAGTTGTTCGCTTTCTTGGGGAAAGATCCGTGCAGCTGTAGTAGCAAAGAGTTGCTGACGACGAAAATGGAGCTCAAGGCCATCAACCCTCCTGCAAAATTTTCCTAGGAACTTTATTTGTTTTTCCTTCAACTAAATAGCTGAATTGTCAACCTAATTAGTTTATATCTGATCACAAACTGGAGTGTCGATCGACGTTTTGTCATGACTTACCAGAAAGTGATGGTGTCATGGCGAAATCAAAATTCGGGAGCAGCACCCCTGCCGCAATGGGGATGGCAACTGCATTATATGCCACTGCCCATGCCAAGTTCTGGTGAACTTTTGCCATTGTTGCTTGAGCTAACGATATAGCATCCACTATCTGTAAATAAACAAGTTTTGAACTGAATCAGAAATAACAACAAACTGAAAATGATATATTGCAAATAGGACATGACAAAACAGCAAACACCATGTGTTTGTCATGGTTTTATCTCGCAGCTAGCTCACAAACAGATAACTCGAGGTGCATCGATCTCTCGATTAGGCATAAAAACAAAAACGCAAGGGAAGACCAGTGCTTCGGTTTGAAGTATCCAGGAATCATTATGGCCGTTGGATACAGATTATGTAAGATGTGAGTTGAATAACAGGCTCCTTTTTAAGCGCCCATGATCTGAACCATGCCCACACTTGCACGACAAACTACCATGCAAATGATCTAATTTAGCTAGCTAGACCCCTCAGCATTTGCTGGTAGCATATAAGACGATTTTGCAAGATTTCAATCTACTCATAAGCACTCATAGTAGAAAGACAAACATTAAACAATAGTGTGATACTTCCCTCGACACGGCTCATTGGTGGAAAAGATCCATATGGTATGGCTTGTATCGTTGTTGTTATAAAAAAGATGCAATTGCTAAAAAGAGATGAAAGGTCACATGCATCGCAAGACAAAAGAAATACTAGCAGCAATTAGCAAATACTAACATATAGTGGAATAAAGGATTGGACTTAACTGATAAACTATTACTATTGTCAATAATGTTGTTTCAAGATGCCCTAAAACAGTAACATGCTATTCATCTTCATAACACTTCTATTCCATGGGAGATTTCATTTGGTTGCTATCTAGGCGAAGGAAATTCAGAAAAAAGATGTTTTGTCTTTGTTACAGAAATGCAACAATGGGCATACAATTGTAGTATCACCGTTAGATCTTTTACCTGTGAAAGCCTGTTGCCTAAAAGAATAACTGATGCTGCATCAGATGCAGCATTCTCTTTGGCCTCAATTTGCAAAGCAACTCCAACATCAGCAAGTGCCAATGATGGTGCATCATTTATACCATCACCAACCTTAAATTCGAAAAGAAATAAAGAAAACATTAGAATATTCCATTTGGTATAAGACTGAATTCCAAAAACAGTTGCATCATAATATTAATGCCATGATTAACGTTGTTCTAAAATGGAGTACTGGTAGTGTATTAATATGCTACAATGAATTACCATAGCAACACTATGACCCTCAGCTTGTAAACTTGATATGATACTTGATTTTTGCTGCGGAGTCAAAGCTGCATTTATAGTTCCAATTCCAACCATCTCGCCAACACTTGTCACTGCCTCTTCCCTGTCCCCAGATACGAGGACTGACTTTATTCCCATTCCCTGCAGCCTTTCAACCAAACAGAATACGTTTAAGCATGTAAACAGAAATGCTAAAACATCTTATACATAAACTAAGACCAAATATTTGTTTGTGATATGATCATAATATCACTAAGTATGTTTTAGAATGCTGTAGTTCATAATAAATTCAAGGACTTTTAGTTGAATAGTAGTATTTCTTAATAGGAACTTCAACAAGTTTCTATTTTAAAATGAAGCTAAAAAACAAAAAAGGAAAAAACTCAGAATTCAATATTTTGCATCTTTTAGCATGTTAATCCATGGTGTAGGAAATATACTTGCTAACTGTAGATTTTGCATCATATCGCAGAACATCAGATATTGCTATAGCTCCAATTATGCCTTCATCTTCCTTCCCAACATACACTACTGATTTTGACTGTTTTGATGATGTTGCCATGCTAGATGAAAGGCATCCCACACGATTTTCCAGATCCAGCAATTCAGATGTTGAAGCTTTTTTCTGAAAACGTTCATGAACCCAGTCAAGCCTACCAACTGCAACTAGAGATCCATCTACTTCTGCTAAGGAACCAAAACCAGGTTCTGTCAGTTGTCCACTGGTACTAGGGACTCCAAAATTCAGTGACTCAGCTTTATCCAAAATAGCCTTGGCAATTGGATGTGATGCCGTCTTCTCCACGGCAGCAGCTAGTCGGAGAATTTCGGATTCTTCATAATCCAAAGAAGCAATAGCAGTAACAACAGGTTTTCCTTCTGTAAGAGTTCCAGTCTGTAAGTTTAGACAAAAGATTACAGGATAAATATTAGTCACTTAGCAGAGAAAACTCTCACATGTTAAAATGCTGTTCCTTCACTTAATAATACCTATAAAACGAAATGAACATTCAACCATCAAAAATACCTTATCTAGTGCAATGACATCTATACCAGCCAACCGTTCCAAGACATTACCTCCTCTGATAAGAAGTCCTTGTTTTGCCCCTGCTCATGAAATTGACCTATCAGAATAGAATGTAGTTCATCCAAGAAGCCTTGATTGATTGACGGACAGATCTTTAATACTAGAACATTAGCACATTGTTCAACAGATAAAAAAGAACAGATAATACAGAATGGTCGAAGTCTTCATGTGGAGAAAACAGTCTTTATAGAGTAACAACTATATGCATGTACATGCAAAATTAACAACAAAAGCACATGCAAGATCAAACAGCCATTCATGCTCGATAGCAAGTTCATGTACCAAAACAAATGTTGTTCACTGAACACATCAGAGATTGATCCATCTCAAAATGATCTATAATGCACTAAATTTGTCCACCATTTTCGGGCTAAATGTAGAGCATAATTTTTTTTTATTTTCTACAGTTCATCATAGTATCTTCATAACTAAATTCAATAAATTAAATATATTACCCATAGAAGTGCCTACTAAGATGGCTGTTGGTGTAGCTAGACCCAGCGCACAAGGACAGGAAACTACCTGTAAAGTGCAGGCCATTAGTTCAGCAAATAGATATACAATATACACCTAGCGTGAACTTTAAAAGTCAAGTAAATTAAAACTGCATGCAAGTTAAGGGGCAATCATCAACTTTTCATCTGAATATAGCATCTAAAGCTAATAAATAGCTATGTGGTAATTTATCAAGATAATTTTTTAAAAAACCCTGTTCATGTGGCCTTGATATGATATAGTTGTAGACTAAATGGAATTGTTCATATATACTTACCAGTACATCCACAGAGAGTTTCAAGCTCAAAAGCAATGGATCTGCATCAGGACCTGCAATATCATTAAGCAACACATCTGGAAAGATGTGTGTTCCAATATAATACCTGAAAGATGTGCAGAGAAAAAACTATTATTTATATCTGTTTAATGCAAACCATGATATTGAAGAACTTATTTTTATTCATTTTCATCCTCAATCAACAAATAAGAATATAAGCCAATTAATTCAGATTTGTATCCTTACTGGAACCACTCAAAAGTGTCTTCCATAGGCATGCAATAATTGATTATCAAATACCAACTAAAAAGCCAAACACACACCAGAAGGCAAAGGTTGCAGCAGATAGTGTCATCACACTGTACACAAAAGGTCCTGCAATTGAATCTGCCAGTCTTTGAATAGGTGCTTGATGTGCTTGTGCTTCCTCAACCTGCAAAAATCAGAGCATTCAATTAAGAGGAAAGAAAACATTCCAACAAGAATTTGAGAAAGTATTGCATACTAACCATGCGAACTATTTTAGAGATAGTTGACATAGCACCAGTTTTCACAGCTTCAATTCTTAGAGGCCCATCCTGCAAAATAAAAAACCCAACTAGGTCTCATATAGAAGTTATATTAACATTAACATGGAGAAATCACAGAACATCATTCAAGGAGAACAACATTTTATTAAAAGCATTCAGAAACCAAGAAATATCAGGCTAGAAACCCTTAGTTTTAGAACAAAGAAACTAGGAGCACTTCAACCTTAAAAGAGTACCTTAAAGAACTATTTCAAACAAATTTCCCTAGCTATAATCAAGCACTTCATAGAAATATATCGATCACATGCAATATTTTACAGCATCTAGTCTTTTGCTCAAGATTTAGGCACAACTCACTAAAGTTGGTATATAGTTTCATGAATGAGCATACCCAGTTAACTGTTCCTGCAGAAACACTGTGACCATGTTCCTTGAATACAGGAAGAGATTCACCTGTGAGCATGGATTCATCGACAACGCTCCTACCTCCAAGAACTTTCCCCTGCATCCAAAATTATTTCAGATAAATATGTGGTTTACCAACAATCAAGTCTGGACAAGTTATGAACCAAAAGATGAGAAAAAAAAAATCCCATTGATTTTCACAATAATCATCCCTGACTTGTAAATTAGATAATTGATTAGACTCACATTCTGTAATCAAGTCTGGATGAGTTATAATGTCAAATAATAATCATGACTTGTAAATCAGATGGTTAATTAGAATCAAGTTTCACATTTAAGTTTGTATGAGTTATGATGTTAAATAATCATCAAAGACTTGTAAATTAGATAATTGACTCCAATAAACTGATTAGAAGTTTGCTATTGTTGTTATAGATGCCTCTATGTTAAAAAGCAGAGAAAGAGCAACATGATAGGTATAGGTGTTTAATTAACAAGTAAACTTAGATAATAAGAAAAAAGACACGTACTATGAAATGAGTTGGAGGCAACATTTGTGTCTTATGTCTGTCTCTAGATATGTTATAAAAGCAGAACAGTGAAAAAAATTGAATTTTAAACATACATCTACGGGAATTGTTTCCCCTGGCAAAACCAAGATCGTGTCTCCAATACGAACATCATCAGTTGGAACTTCAATGCTAATTGCATCAGCACTCAAGAAGCTGTCAGATGTAGGATTCTCTTCAGGCGATGAGATTATTAATCGTGACTGAGAGGAGACCAATGACTGCAAGGAAGTAATTAAATTTGTCAAAAATACAATCTTTTCTGAGAGACTTATGATTACATTTTTTCTTTATATAGATAGAATTAAAAGTTAAATCATTTTCTTGCTACATTGTAGAATTTAAAGTAGGCATTTACAGTGAATATAAGTGAGCTGTTAAGAATAATCTCTCTTCATCTTTCTCCCTATTGAGATGACAATGCAGGGAATAGAATGATGATGATTTTCCTAGCTGGAACTGATATGATAATGTCAAGTGCAACTGGAATGATAGGAGAAGCATAATGACTAGTAGATTCTCAACTTGACTATAAATGCATAATGATGCCAAATGAACTATCTAGACAAAAGATGAAGCTAATATCAATTTTGCTAGAAATGCACAACTATGAGAAATGAATTAACAGATAAATATGGAGCTAATACACATAGCAAAAACAAGGCTTACCAAGAGTTCATTCATATCACTGGATGCCTGTAGTCTAGCCCTTTCTTCGAGAGAACGTCCAAGAAGTACAAAACCAAGAAGCATGACCTGCATTCTACAAGACACTCTGCCTGAATGAGATATTACCAGTAAGCACACAAGTGTCAGCATTCTTTGACTATGTGGTTTAAGAATCAGACTTGGCCCCTGAATTTGATTGTAGAAAAAATAAATTGCTGAATGCTGTTACACAATAAAGAAAAAACCTATGAAACTCTGGTAAATGTGGCACAAGATTTCTTTTTAGATAATGTAAAGTGTAAACGACTGCTAAATACAGGTTTCGGTCAAATCCAACCTTTAATTAGGACAACATGATGTGTTCATATGTTAGCTTGACTGGTAAAGAGTTTGTTGGATTATCGTAACGTCCTGGGATCAACATCTGCCTTCATCATTTACTGTTTTTGGCAAGGCAATAACACAGTTCATGGATTTGTGCCATCCACTGGATATACACACATACAAGAGCAGAAACATATATGAACCATGCCAACCGAGGATCCATGTAAACATGACTAAGGCCATTTTGGCAAAAGCGCATGACATTCCTGACTTTGATCTTATTAATACCCGTATGAGCCAAAAAATTTGTGCTCTTCACAGAACCTCACAAGGGACGAGAGCTAGGCACGAGAGCAAGTGAGGACAAGTGTGGCTGCGATAAATAAATTTGTGCATTTGACTTCTACGGTTAGGATATTCATGAGACTGAATCATATAGTTAACATGAAGTGTACCCACAAAATTTACAACATGTATACCTTTCTCCACATTTTTTCCATAAAATTTGTTTCTCTTATAAATGAAATTCTTCAAAAGCGGTAATTTTAATTAGAAATTTGAAAACGAAATTCTTCCAAGTTCAGATTTGCATAAAAAAAAATTTCTATCAAAATCTTTTCATCATTGGACAAAGTTTTAAAGATTAAAATACAACTAACCGGTTCATCAAAAAAAGATGCTTCCCACTGAAGGCCTGGGTTGAGCAGCGACATCTGCAGAAGTTAAAAGAAACACACAATTAGTAAAGATAAGAAAAATATGATTGACCATTATCAACAACAGAAAAACAAATGAACAAGACAAAAACATCATCCAATAGATCAAGACAACAGCTATCGCTTGCTGAAACTGTACTTACTGCACTAATCAGGAATGCAGCAATGGATCCAAATCCCACAAGAGAGTTCATATTTGGTGAGGCATTTGCAAATGCTCTGAGACCATCCAAAAGCAATTCTACAGATGTGGAACATTTATAGCAATATTCAGACAATGGAAGTAGATCTCCATAACAGAATAATCCAGTCCTTTAAGACTATTTAGTTATGCAAAATATATTAAATGCAATAAAACCTACTAACGAAGAATAAATTTAACTCTTATGGATTTCTGTAATTTTGGGGTCTATAGAAGAAAGTGATGCAGTCATCATATACACCATGGTCTAGATAATCAAAACCAAAAGAAAGAAAGAGAGAGAAAAAGTGACGGAACTAAAGGCCCAAAAGATTTTAACTGCTAAGAGTTATTATGAATCCAGGTTACCACTTCAATGGCACTCGGAAAATAACTAGATGTGCTTTGATAGGCAAGTTTTTTTGTCTCTCTCCTGTGTATGCACTCTTTAGTGAGTTTTGTGAACACCCGAAATCACCCTCAGTTTTAAAGTCATTAAGTAGCCCATAAGTGTTTCCTAAACAAACCTCTCATCTGGCAGTAACCAGAGAAGACATCCAAAAGAAACAGGTCAGTGAAAGACAACTGCAATTTGCTCAAAAAGAAAACTAAGAAGAAAGTGAACAGGAAGAGAAGTCAAATCAACTAATAGGTGCTTATATATACAATCCTTTTTCTCATGCATAGCAACCAAAAAACAATGACACATGAACTGTAATGTAGTTAAAAGTTTGTGATTCTGTTGAACAGAAAACCCTTCAAGTAAGTTTTTGCCATTGCAATCTGCTGATATAGCAAAATCTATCATGTGATTGTCCGTAAAAAAGGGTGATGGCAGAGTTGCATTGTGCTTATACAAACTCCAGAAAGCACAATGTTGACCAGCATTGCATTAAAGAACTTAACTGTAAAATGCTTAACAGAGTGAAATTTCATTTTTTGTTTGTCATCCCAAAATTTCAATCAACTAGCTTTCATAAATCTTAGGCATGCAGTGAGGGCCAGAAGTAGCATTTACACCTTTCAGACAAAGGATGCAAAATATGCAACATATATTGAGAAGCCTTACAAAACATGCACAATGCAGAGCCAAGGAGAGTAAGCTTACGATTTACCTCTACCAGGTCCGAGCAATGACCCCAAGGCGATACCACATTTCACATAAGAATTGTGCAATATATCCAAAAATGAACCTGTAAGACAACAACCATTATGCACGCATCATTGACGATATCAAACATTCAACTAAAGTAGAAAACTCTAAATTGAATAACTTTAGTTGCTGAATTTTATCTGCATCTTTCAAAATATCAACACCAGAGGCAAAAAGATCTCCATTTTTGGTATTGGGCGAGAATTCCTCACCGTGAGCGACGTGAATCCCAAGTGAATGCAACAAATGAGTGCCGTGAGACCCGCAGCACAGCGCCACCAGCGTCCACGCGAACACGACACGGTTGCGGCTCGCCGCGAGCAATTTCTCCTTCCTCTCCGCCATCTCCCTCCACTTCCTCACGTTCTCCTGCACCCCCAACCCCGTTCTCCTCCTCTTGGACGGGAAACCGCACTGCGCCAACCTCTCGGCCAGCTCCTCCGCCACCCGCTCCGGTTCGTCGCCGCTCGTCCCGAGCCGAACGGCCGCGGTCTCGGTCAACATATTGACCGCAGCTGAGTCGACTCGGTCGTCAGCGGAAAGGATCGACCGGACTCGGGCGGCGCAGGCACCGCACATCATCCCGCCGACCTCGAGGAGGACCGAGGAGTTCTTGACCTGCTCCTCCTGCTGGGGTTCGCCGGACGTGGCGGCGCCGATCTCGACGGCATTCGGGCGGGGGAGGCGAAGGGGACCAGCTGAGCTAGGCCGCCGTAAGAGGCGGAGGTGAGGAGGAGTGATCCGGACAGAGCGAACGGGGCTGAGGTGGATCTTAGGTTTAGGGCTAATGGAGACTCGAAGGAGAGCAGCCTCCATGAGAGAGAAAGAGCGAAGGAGAGAGAGAGAGTCCCTTCCGTGTCCAATTCAGAGGTAGGAGGAAGAAGATATAGAAAAAGGAGAAGACTCCGAGACACGAAGACCTCTCACCCGTTCAAAGACCAGCACACGTGTCGTGCGTTATTGAAACACGAAGCACTGGGTAAGACGATGGGTGACGGACAGGGGTGCGCTAAGGAGTTGGTGGCCGTTGGTTTTCGACCACATTTTTCTTGTGTTCGCAAGCCAGCTAGGATGTGAGCATCGCCGGTAGAGTTACCGCCTACTGCGATCTGCCGGGTCTTAAACGGGTGAAAGTGGAGAGGAATATCCTCCATCTAAATCCGATATTGGTAGCTCTTGTTCGACGTGTATATAAGCTTATAAGTGGATACGGGTGTGGTTCTCTAATACCCGACCCGTTTTCACCGACATGGTGAGCTTCGAGTTCGTCTGTTGTGCGGGTGATGCGTTTGCTTGATATATTGGATGAGGACGGCGGGTGGATTAGTCGAAACACGCGGTATAGAACGTGACCTGATTAAATAAATGAAGGCAAGATTAAACTATACCTGCCTGATCGTTCGAGAATAATGTAGGGCCCGTTAAAGTTATCCATTAAAAAGCCAGGTAAAAACACGGGTTTTAATTATGATGGTAGAGAAAGTAATATTAATTAATTTTGGTCAAACTAAAACTTCAAGACAAAAAAATGAATATTAAATTACATAATCCCAATTTTAATTGTGAATATATTTTATAGCCTCGAGATCACTATGATGGGGAAGACCACTACTTTTACATGGACATTATACCGCATTGTTGGTCTTCGAAATATAATGGGTAGATAGATGACAAACAGGAATGGTTGATATGACTCACTCGGATAGAGATATTGGTATGGCTCAAATGTAATCCAATGAAGACATCTCACATCTCTACATGTTTTAAACGTGGAAAGTGGTAGTTGAATAATTATAAGGAATGCATTTGGAAGGATATTGGTTGAATGGTACTGTTTTCTAATTTCTCTTTTTTAAGACACTATTAATTATATATATATGATATATTTTTTTTTCGTAAGTGATGAAGATGGGATTGGAGTCCTAAAATTTTTTTGAGCTTCTTCTAAAAGATATCTCAATTTTATTTATTAATATAATACCTTAAATGTTCTATCTACACAATAAATTCTTTTATTTTAAGAGTCTCTCCAAGTTTGTCTTTGATGATGATGATAATTTCTTCCTCGTCCTAACTCTTATTGAGATGACTAATACTCTTTAGTCCCTGGCTTAGATCAATCATGAACATCAACTTGTATCATAAGCTTGAGGTGTCAACGTAGCTAAAGTAAGGGTTGCATCGGGCACTGGCCAATCAACCGTTGTCATTATAGGTTATGATTTACTATCTCAATTTTCAATCGTTAGAAAATTCAAATAAATCATTGAATTCTAGATGAAGATAAAACATATCAGATGATTAGTATAAAATAGAGGTACCTATGATGAGACAAAAGTAATAGGACCTCGACGAAGGTAACGTTGACGAGAGTGAGAGAGGCATCGTTGGCCATAAGGGATATTTAGAGTTTTAGAAGAAAATAAAAATATTAAATAAAAATTAAAATATGAGTGTATCATTCGTAAAAATTTTAAAATGGGTATTTTTTTTAAGTTGATCGCTCTATATAATATATTAAAATTGAGGGAAGAATAACTTATTCTCGTATTTTAAAGAGTTTAAATATAAAAAAATATGGAAAAACTCGTCGCCACTACAACATCCATCCGTCCAATATGAAAACTCGTCCATCGGACGGCCATAAGTTGCCCAACAAACGTTATCCGCTCCCTTCTAATGCCCATTCATCTCCCCTCGACTCCAAACGAAGCAAGAAAGATGGCTCCTTTGCCTCCCTCAACCGCCGCCGAGTCCCCGCAGGCTACGGCCGCCCCCTTCACTGGACTCCTCTCCTCCGCCTTCCACCACCTTCCCTTCTCTTTTCCTCTCCCCCCGCCGAAGCTCTCCGGCCTCGACCATGCGGCGACGGCCCACGTCGTGGGCCCCCATTCCTCCCTCCTCTCCGCCGCCGAGCGCTGCGTTAAGACGTTGGCCGCCGCCCTCTCCGAGCATCCATTCTTCAAGCCCCTCCTATCCACCCACTCCGAGCTCCAAAGATTCTGCCAGGTTAGGTCATTGCTGCTCCTGAATTTCTTCAAGAATCTTTCGAAGCCCATTTGGAACAACAAAGTTCGCTATTTTTTTCTTACTATGTTCAGTCATTTGGGGAATTCGATAACTAGTAACGGTATCGAAATCGACGTAGAACCTTAAATGACTGCCCCTTTTTGCACCCTCCGGAGTTCTTTCCCTGGCTCTCTGAAGCTTGACTGAGATACTGACAGAAGGAGCACAACAGAATTTGATACTTCTATTGTTCTTACTGTTTCTTTAATCTTTGGTGCATTTTGATTATTCAAGTGAAAATGGTGTCAATACAGGCGTAGAACAAACAATGTTCATTGTATGCTTTGATAAAAAGGCAAATTTTGTGATTGCGTTATTTGGTTATTGCTTCCAGATGCGTTTCAGAAGCCCTAGGTTCGTGAGTTTACCTTCTGGCCACAGCTTTGCAGCAATATTGCCGGGAGACTCAGTAGCTGGGCTGGTGGTGACCAATGGCATCATCAACTTCTTGAACATATACAACACTCTGCTGATAGTAAGGCTGGTGCTAACGTGGTTTCCCAACTCTCCTCCGGCCATTGTCAGCCCTCTCAGGTACAATTCTTTGTGCATTGTGGTGCTTTAAGTTTAATGGATATCAGACTTTGGATGGGTAGTATATTAATTTGCACATAATGCTAGACTTGCTGAATTGGTCAATGACATCTGATGTTGGTTTAGGTGAATCAAAAGGGATGTTATAGGTTAAAGCTGACGCAATACATGGCACTAACGCTTTGCATCTTGTAGGTTTTTGTTAAATTTTAATCATCACATAAATGAGTTTGAAGGTAATTATTTGATGTGTCAGGGATGGGTACTTGTCTGTTGAAGGCTGAAGTATTAAGATATACTGGGTGAACTTTTTTTAAGTGCTGGGGAATCTACTATCATGTACAAATACGCTGGACTGTGTTTTTCAGAAGAACATCAGTAATCTACTTTGTTACACATCCTAATCTTAGCTGCATCTAGTCTATCTTTAGTAAATGAATTAACTAAAAATTGCGAAACAAATAACCATTCTAAAAGAATTGAAATTGGTTCTGGTTAAGTTTGTATTGCCGTGTAACATGTACAAATATTACAAGACAACTAATTGACGTGATAAATCATCCATCTTTGGATCTAATTGAAGTGTTGACTTATTTGTGCAAGTCACAAGACAACTTATTAAACTATGTAAGCACTTTTAATATGTAGCCCAAGAAGGTTCATTTGCCTATGTGATTCTCATCAATATGGCATTATCTTTTAGATCGAGTTATTAACCAAAAGTGAGTTGGAGTCATTAATTGTCCGGGACATTATACAAAGGGGTGAGTGTTGCTAGAAACAGGGAACAGACTTTTCTCCAATCTTTTGTTGTTCATGAGTATTTTTATATCAAGTAGCATAAGTACATTTGTTCAAGCTTTCAAGTCCATATCCATTTACAGAAACTCTGAAACATGTAAAAGAGGCAATAAAAGATGGCAAATACTCTTTGTTCTGTATAGAATTCATTTTATGCAGAAGTATGAGAGCACAAGCGTATGCAGGAGCAAATATGCTTCCAGGATGTAACCAAAGGCATTTTCAAGCCTAGCTATTTGTGTCTAAAATTGACCAACTTTGCTGTTCCTAGTCTTGATGTCTTAAATCTCACTTATTAAAAATTTTAAATTTAGTTCAAGAAAATACACCCAGAAACTATATTCTGGAAGTGATTCTTTGGCGTATATGTATGAAATGCTTTGCCTTTTCAATAGTGTTGTATATTTTCTTGTTTGATTGTTTGCATACCTTAAGCTCAATAACAAGCAAGTAAGTTGGTTTCATTTGAGTTAGTAAGTCAGCGACATAAATGCTTCTCTTGGAAGTTGGCATGTCATTTCAATTTCAATATGTTCAACCAAAACACTTTAAATGATATTAGTTTTAGTACTGCATAAATGCAGATTTGTTAGTTGTCCTGTTACTTGAGATGGCTTTATGTTCTTTTTGCCTCAATTTCTGAGACTAAGTATTTGTGTGTTCTCTTGTTATGATTTTTTCTCTGTTTTTTCTCAGCACTATATGTGATCCCTATCTCAACATTTTCCGAGGGATTATCCCACCACTTGGTGGAACACTTGATCTTTCCCCCATCCTGGCTTTCCTTGTTCTCAACGCCTTTACTAGCACTGCTACTGCTCTTCCAGCTGAGCTTCCAGGCGCTATAACATCTCAGCGGAATACTTGCAAACAACACTGGTCTTTTAGCCTTACCACAACACAAGAAAAGTGGCTGAGAAGGATAAACAGCAAAAGATCCAAGAACTCAGATGATGTCTGTTAGGTTATGATCCTACTACTCTTTGTTTGTATGAGACCGCATAACGTTCAATGTCTGTAAAAAGTCTTTGTTCGTATGCATTATTTTTCATCTTAATGATTCAATCTCAGTTTTTGCGCATTATCTCATATCATGACATCTTTTGCTCTACTATCAACTAGTTAAGTCTACTATCAGCCATTATCTCATATCATTTTTGCAGAGTTTGAATGTAGCACTACGTTATACTCTCCATTGTTTTCTATTATAACATATGATATGTTTGCATAATTCAACCATGACTGATGGTACATGAATTTAATATGTTCTACAACACTTCATATTGCAAACAAGCAGATCGAATGTTTGTCGTCATCCAATTCCCATAACAAGTGGTCGAGTGATTTAATGAATGCTTCAGGCACCCATAGAACACACAAGTCAAAAAGAACAGCCACATCAGTTCATGTTTGTTCCTAGGGTTTCTCTCTTTGTTGGTGTTGTCAGGA